CACTATCATCTCATTATGGGGAGCACCCTTCACTGCATAATCGTGTGCACCCTTATCCGGCATCTGATCCTAGTAAGAAATGTGGCTTATAGTCTTAGCTTTTAGACATTGATGAGTGATTGAAAGAAGTTAATAGCTTTCTTTTAGAATTTTCTTGGTACACTTCTGGAACTTATTTCACTACAGCTCTGAAATGTTTTCGTTAGTATACTTCAACACGGTTAAATTTTTGTTTACAATATGTGGTCTGCTGTTATCGAAACAGGAAATGGAAGATGGGATGAAACCAAAGATGATAGAACGGATGACTGGAAGTTGCAACAAGGAAATTTGGGGCCTGAACCTGATGAAGATCCAGATGCAGCCATGTATGCTTACAGTGCTACAATTAGGAAACTGTGATACATTAATTTTGATCGATAGTAATGATGGGAAGAAATTAACTGTGCAGGTTGGATGAAGCAAGGCAACCACTGTCAAGGAAGGTACCAATAGCATCCAGCAAAGTGAATCCATACAGAATGGTGATTGTTGCACGGCTTGTTATCCTTGCCTTCTTCCTCCGATATAGACTGATGAATCCTGTACATGATGCATTGGGGCTGTGGTTAACATCTATTATATGTGAAATCTGGTTTGCTTTTTCATGGATCCTTGATCAGTTTCCCAAATGGTTTCCCATTGATCGAGAGACCTACCTTGATCGTCTTTCAGTAAGGTAAAATGAGGCATCTTCACTCTGAAGTCAACATGAAATCCAAAACCTCCAACTTACATGGCTGACAAAAAGTTGTTTGTTAGGTATGAGCGTGAAGGTGAACCAAACATGCTTGCTCCTGTAGATGTCTTTGTCAGTACTGTGGATCCCATGAAGGAACCTCCACTGGTTACGGCAAACACTGTTCTCTCAATCTTGGCCATGGATTACCCGGTTGAGAAGATATCATGTTACATTTCTGATGATGGAGCTTCAATGTGTACTTTTGAGGCCCTGTCAGAAACTGCAGAGTTTGCTAGGAAGTGGGTACCATTCTGCAAGAAATTTTCTATCGAACCTCGAGCACCAGAGATGTACTTCTGTGAGAAAATTGATTACCTCAAGGACAAGGTGCAGCCCACCTTTGTTAAGGAGCGTCGAGCTATGAAGGTCTGTATCATATCTATCGGACTCGTACTTGAAAATATGGGATTAGAAGTTAGTTTAAAGTTTATTCACTGTTATTTGTGTGTTTGACAGAGAGAATATGAAGAGTTTAAGGTTAGGGTCAATGCACTTGTGGCAAAAGCTCAGAAGGTTCCACAGGGAGGATGGATCATGCAGGATGGAACACCATGGCCAGGAAACAATACCAAGGATCATCCTGGTATGATTCAAGTCTTTCTTGGTCACAGTGGAGGTCATGACACTGAAGGAAACGAGCTTCCTCGTCTTGTTTATGTTTCCAGAGAGAAAAGGCCAGGATTCCAACACCACAAGAAAGCTGGGGCTATGAATGCTTTGGTAAAGCTTTTTTATCAGTTTTTGCTGTTCTTATGATGTCCATTCACCTTTATGAGCCACAAATACTTGACTTTTAAAATTAATGCTGTAATTTACAGATTCGGGTCTCTGCTGTGCTTACGAATGCTCCTTTCATGCTGAATTTGGATTGTGATCATTATGTCAATAACAGCAAAGCTGCTAGAGAGGCCATGTGTTTCTTAATGGACCCCCAAACTGGGAAGAAGGTCTGCTATGTCCAGTTTCCACAAAGATTTGATGGCATTGATAGGCACGATCGTTATGCCAATAGGAACACAGTTTTCTTTGATGTAAGTCTTGCAAGAAACATAACATCAGCATGGCTTGGCCTTTTCTTGAACACTTATTTTTTTCATTTTTACTCTTTTGTTAAGTAGTGTAAGCTACTATTAACCATTTCCACTTCTTTCTGTTTCTATGCAGATAAATATGAAGGGTCTAGATGGTATTCAGGGTCCTGCATATGTTGGCACTGGGTGTGTATTTAGGAGACAAGCTTTATACGGTTATAATCCTCCCAAGGGTGCCAAACGTCCAAAAATGATAAGCTGTGACTGCTGCCCATGTTTTGGAAAGCGCAAGAAGGTTAAGTATGAAGGGAATGGTGTAGATGGAGAGGCTGCAACCCTAAGAGGTTCTAATATTTCTGATCACTAATGTTGACAGTAACTTCAATTCAAATATATATTTCACTTTTACCTTTTCTAACCCATGTCCCATCCCACGTCTAAATAGGACCAGATGATGATAAAGAGATGTTGATGTCCCAGATGAATTTTGAGAAGAAATTTGGCCAGTCATCTATCTTTGTGACTTCAACCTTGATGGAAGAGGGTGGTGTGCCTCCTTCCTCAAGTCCAGCAAGCCAGCTTAAAGAAGCCATTCACGTGATCAGCTGCGGATACGAAGATAAAACTGAATGGGGAATTGAGGTAACACAAACAGCCTAGAGACTCCTTGATATCTTACCATATTTTATTCACACTATGAAAATCAGCTCATCCATGGTATTTTGCTTTCCAAATATGCAGCTGGGTTGGATTTATGGGTCTATTACAGAGGATATTCTAACAGGTTTTAAGATGCATTGCCGTGGTTGGAGGTCCATTTATTGCATGCCTAAGCGACCTGCATTCAAGGGTACTGCTCCTATCAACTTGTCTGATAGGCTTAACCAGGTGCTTCGTTGGGCACTTGGCTCCATTGAAATCTTCTTCAGTCGCCATTGTCCTTTATGGTATGGCTATAAGGAAGGGAAGTTGAAGTGGCTTGAGCGATTTGCATATGCAAACACAACTGTCTACCCCTTCACCTCCATACCTCTAGTCGCCTACTGTGTCCTTCCTGCTGTCTGTTTGCTCACTGATAAATTCATCATGCCACCGGTAACAACACCATTCTAATTCTCACATGCTGAAAAATTAGTTAGTCATGCCATGCTTTTGAAATTATAGAATTTCAAATTTCCTTAATGTTGCCTTAAAAACCTGAATTCTCACGACTTTCGTATGTAGAGCAGGACTTAAATCTATAATTATAGAATGGGTGCCAAGCTTATTTGCTTATAAAGATAACTTTTGGTTGCTGATGATACAGATAAGCACTTTTGCCGGTTTGTACTTCGTTGCTCTATTCTCTTCAATCATTGCAACTGGCCTTCTTGAGTTGAAATGGAGTGGTGTGAGCATTGAGGAATGGTGGAGAAATGAGCAATTCTGGGTCATTGGTGGTGTGTCAGCTCATCTCTTTGCTGTCATACAAGGTCTTCTGAAGGTTTTGGCTGGAATTGATACCAACTTCACTGTTACATCAAAGGCAGCGGATGATGAAGAATTTGGAGAATTATACACCTTTAAGTGGACTACTCTCCTGATTCCTCCAACCACTATCCTAATAATCAATATTGTTGGCGTTGTTGCTGGCATCTCAGATGCCATAAACAATGGGTACCAATCCTGGGGACCTCTATTTGGAAAACTGTTCTTCTCATTTTGGGTGATTGTCCATCTGTATCCATTCCTTAAAGGTTTGATGGGTCGCCAAAACCGCACACCCACCATAGTTGTTATATGGTCGATACTATTGGCTTCCATTTTCTCCTTGCTTTGGGTAAGAATTGATCCATTCGTATTAAAAACCAAGGGACCTGATACCAAGCTATGTGGAATCAACTGTTAAAAGACTGGTTTTCCTACACTATCCTTTAGAGGGCATCTTTTGAAGATGAATGTAAATTCTTTGTTGTGCTGTATGATGCGTGAACCTACAAACTTTACATGTACAAGGATGAAAAAAAGAGAGTGAAAATTGGCTAGTGCAAATGCAGTTTTCACATCAGTGTAATGTATTGGATGTTTGTTAGCAATTGTTTTGGCTCCATTTGCCCGAGGATTGGAAAGTAAATCAGAGTTATAGGTTTACATAGTTAATGTTCTATCGGAGGCATCTAGCACATTAAGTCTAATCCAAAATGATGCATAAAAGCTGTGCATAATTTGACCTACCGAAGGGCAATATGCTAGCCAATTTATTGATAGTCTTTAAACCAGGAAGCAAGAGCAGCAGCATGCTCTTGCTAGGAGAAGTAAATGAGAAGAAAAGGAGAGAGAAGTGTACGAACACTTACTTATTATGTGCATATTCTCCATGAAACAGACAGTCTCAAAATTGGATGAAAACGACAGGATTGCATTCAGGTCTCCCACATTTCTCTTTCAACAGTGATCCAAAAGCAGTTACTTCCATGTTTAGTTAAAGTTAAAATAAGCTTGGTGGTAAAAGTGAAAGGGAGAAAGGGCTAGCATGGGTTTAAGTTCAAAAATTAACATATTAACCGCTAACACGAACTTTCATATTTGATGTTTCTAAAAATTACAAGCACGGGAATTGACACCAAGATACCTAATGTTAAAATGCATAATAAACAAATTTAGGAACAAAAGTGCTACATGTGATGCTTTGATGTTTGATTCAAAGGCGAGGAGGGAAAGGAAGGAGAGCTTCCCCCTTGTTTGGTTTGGTTGAAGACAGGGGAGTCTCCTCGGCAAGGGAGGAGAGAGAAAACAATTGTACCATGTTGTGCCTTTATAAAAATTATTGGAAAGGAGAGGACAAACCTCATGAATAATTTAATAATCAACACGTTCCAAAAATTATAAAACAGCTCCCCTCCGACACTTGGGCTTTGTTCACTTGAACGGATTTGGAGGAGAGTGATTCAGGGGATTTGAGAGGATTTGAAGGCAAACTCTTTTGTTGTTTATTTGAGTGAATTTGGAGGTAGATGAGAGTTGATTTGGAAGTAAATTTTCTTAATCTGTCACGTCAATCAAATCCTACAGTTATTCTCACAAACTTTACTTCTAAATTCACTCTCGTTTATCTCTAAATCCACTCAAATAAACAACAACAAAAATTACTTTCAAATCCCCTCAATCACTCTCCCCCAAATCCATTCAAGTGAACAAGGCCTTAAAGGGGAGACAAAAATGGGAAGGGTGGGATTTTAGCCCTGTCATCTCTAAAATTAAAAAGAAAGAAAAATCCTCAATGTCCTCCTTCCTTCGCTTTGTTTTCCTTTGAGCCAAACACATACATTAATTCATTATTACTTCACATTTATTCACAATCAACACTTTAAATAGCACATAAAGTTTTTTAACTGCGATCTACAGAAGATACTTAGTAAAGCACCACAAAAAGGAACAGTATAAAAAAAATACTGAGAGAACTTGATGATTAGATAGGAGACGCAAAGAAACTTTCTCACTTGTGGAAAGAATTTAAATTTGAAGAGGTTAATTAACAGCCCTGAGGTTGCGGCTGGGGCTGCGGTTGGGGCTGGGCTGGGGCTGGGGCAGGGTTAATTTGGCAAAAAGAGATGTGACCTGCATGGACAAAAGAATGTATAATTCAAGGAGTTTCTAGACTTAAGTTAACTGTTTTGTATGATTTTGAACGAGAGAAGGACAGTAGAGATACATGCATCTAATTTAAAGAGTGCAAGAATTCAGACACCATTTGGTTGGACTTACTATAAAAAGCTCCATTCAACCAATTCTGTGATGTTTTTCGCTTCTCAAGTGGATGACCACAAGAGGATTTAGACTCCGGATATATATTGTTGTAAGGTAAAGAATATGAAACCAAAAGTTTGGATTATGATGCATCTGGCAAATATAACTTACTGAAAAAATACTTGCTCAGCTTCACCAATAATCACCACAAGAACAGGTCCCATCTTTGAAATGGTGGAATCTGTTGGCATCCCTAACTACAATTACTCTTTCTGTGATCTTTGAAATAAACTTAGTAGCAGTGTGACAATCTAAACAAACCCGAAGATTCTTGATTATCCTGATCTCAGTACCAGGTTCAGAGGTAATAAGGCCAAAAGCAATAGCTAGTTTCTCACTATGAACATTAAACATGAGTTCCTTTTCTTCTTCTTCCACATCATGCAAAGCAGTAACTGTCTCCGGCTTATACCCCATCTCCCTCATCTTACTTGTTAACTTCTCCAGCTTTGCATAGATAGCTAATGCTTGCGAATGAGAACGATCACCAGATACGAAGACATGTGGGGACCCATTAACCTCAATTAGAGTGCACCCTGGAGTCTTTGATAGTTTTCTTTTTTTAACTACTTCCCGTACTGAAGCAGCCTTTGGGAAGTTTCTCTCTGCAGAGTATATATTAGAAAGTAAGACATAGTATCCTACACTCCCTGAATCCAGTTCAAATAGCCTTTCTGAAGCCACACGGGCAATTTTCGTGTCTTTATGAATCATGCAAGCACCAAGTAATGTACCCCATACTGCAGGTCCTGGTTCAACAGGCATTCTCCTTACAAATTCTAAGGCTTTTTGTAACTGTCCAGCTCGTCCCAAAATATCCACCATGCATGCATAGTGCTCAGCTAAGGGCACAATCCTGTATTTATTAACCATAGCATTGAATATTTCATCTCCTTCTCTTACCAAGCCAGCATGACTGCAAGCATATAAGACTGAAAGAAAAGTAACACTTGATGGCTGAAACCCCAATTCCAGCATCTCATTAAAAAGCTGAAGTGCTTCATGCCCATATCCATGGAGCCCATAACCAAAAATCATAGTATTCCAAGTGACGGTATTCTTTTCACTCATCGAGTCAAATAATTGCCAAGCCTCTAAAATATTCCCGCACTTGGCATACATGTCAATCAGAGCAGTCAAAACATAAATGTTTGGCTCAAGGTTTTTGCTTGTAATCAACTGATGAACCCATTTACCAAAACTCAGTGCTCCTAATTGAGCACAAGCTGAAAGAATACTCGTAATGGTGACTGGATTCGGAATAAAATCAGTCGCCATCATCTCCTGAAAAAGAGAGATAGCCGTCTCCGTTAAACCATTCTGTGTATAACCTGAAATCATAGCATTCCAAGCAGCCACGGTTTTCTCCGATGATTCGTCAAACAACCGCCGTGCCAAATCTATTTCATTGAGCCTGCTGTATATAGTCGTGAGTGCAGTTGAAACCAAAGGATGCAAAATAAAACCGGACTTCACACAAAACCCCTGAATACAGCAAGCCAAATGCAAATGCCCAAAGGGAGAAGACACAGGAATCAACCCAACCATTGTGCTAGAACTCACTCTCTCCCCAGAAACAAGCAATTCTCTAAAAAGCTTCACCCCACACTCAGTCTCACCATTACAACTAAACCCAGAAATCATGGCATTGTAAGAAACCAAATCCGGCTTCTTAATCATCCCAAACAACAACTTGGCCGTGTCAACATCCCCACATTTTGAAAAAACCGAAATCAAACCCGTTAACACGTAGTCATCAAAATGAAATCCAAGTTTCAAAGCCAAACACTGAATCCCCATCCCAACTTTCCCCTCTTGCATCTCTGCAACAGCCGGAAGCACAGTAGCCACCGTGGTGGAATCCAACTGCACCTTTTGCGCCACCATGTCCCGAAACACTTGAACAGAATCGTCATAACAACAGTTCCTCACCAGTCCAGTAATCATGGTGTTCCACAACACGGTGTCTCTCTCAGGTATTTTATCAAACACCTTCCTGGCATACCCCACACGAGAAAACTTACAGTACAAGTCAACGAGCGCGGACGCCACAAAGAGGTTCGACGCGAAGCCATCGATGACGGCATGCGTGTGCAAGCACATGCCGAGCTTGTCGTCGGGGCAAGCGGCGACGGCGAAGGCATAGGTGAAGTTATCTGGGGAGAGGCTGGTGTTTTTGCGGAGATGGGTGTAGAGGGAAACGGATGAAGCGTTGGGGAAGAAGGAGAGGCCTTTGATGACGACGTTGAAGAGGAAGATGTCAGGCTTGGGAACCGAGAAGAAGAGGGCACGTGCGTGGTGCGCGGCGCCTACGTCAAAGAGCTTCTGGGTGAGCTTGGTAACGGTGGCGAGGTCGTGGTGGTAACCGTTGCGGATGAGCTGCGCGTGGGTTTCGGCAAGGTGCGGGAAGGTGCAAGCTTTGTTGATGAGGGCGAGGAGCGTGTTGCGGCTAATGTCCCCACGAATCATCTGAATGCAACACACCGCCGCTCAGCACAAGATGATACATACGGTTTGGTAACTAAATTAAGTCTGAAAATTAACTAAATTTACTGGATTAAGAGTTTCGTTGGTATAAATTAAAAATAACAACAGATAACTTATCTATTTAAATAATTTCATTAAATTAATCCCATTTTTATTAATATATTAATTTTATATGCTACAAATATTGATATTAATGCAGTTTATTTGAGTATAAATTATGAATTAAATAGTTCATATATTTTAAAATATTATATAACTTAAAAAAAATAACTAAAATTATGACACTTTAATTCATATGTAGCGGTTTAAAAAAATTAAAAACTAAAACTTAAATCATAAAAACAGAGTTGATTGGAATAGACTAATATGTTATGCCGCATCTTAAAATCAAATCTTAAGTTTAATTAAAACTTTAAAGTCTTACCAATTTTTCTGTTTATATGGAGTAATATGGCGAGCAACATCCAACTTAATTAAAAATGATATCATATAGCTAGACTCATTTTAAAAAAAAAGTAAAACTTGTTAGTTTCTTGTAAGAACCTCCTAGATTCTAAGTTTACTAATTACAAAATTAATATACTTAATATTATCATTTAGTTCACTCTCAGTTAAAAATTCTATAATAGTGTACTTGAAATATATATGGAAGAACATTTGTCTGGTTAACTAATGAGTTTTTGTAATGTCTGATTCTTGGTCCATTGGGATGCAGTAAAATTTAATCTGGAAAGAATGTTGTGCTCCTTCCATTTGTATTTTCTTTTCATCTGCTTGATACGAGACTGGGCCACCGGTGTTACAAGAAAGGCAAAAATGAAGACGATGGAAGAATATAAATTGCCGGGAGAGGGGGAGAAGCCTAATACAAAAATTTACAATGGTAAAGAATCCTGGGTGTTGATTCCTTATGTTTCAGCCGAACATTCCCAAGAATCTTTAAAACATTCTTGTAACGTCTCAGAAATTATAGTTTCCTAGCATTTGGCTGCAGCTGCAAGAGAGTTCTAGTTAGCATAGAAGCAGGCAGAGTCTGGCGTGTTTGAATTTCCCAGATTGTTTACTTATGCACCATAAAACCTTGCTTGATCTGCATGAGATGCGTCCGAAGGCTATATTCCTCAACCTGTTTACGCCAAAATAATAATGAAATTAAGACGTGTTATACTTGAAGATATCGTTGTTCTCTTACGAAAACATATACAGATAAATGCACTTATGCTACCGGCAAGACTCGTTATTGCTAATTGTTATTTTCTTTTGTACGATATTCAGAAGCTGGAGGCAAAATTTGCGTACGTCACCAACAAATTTTACGAGATGATTAAATTGATAATTTTCTGATTTAAGCGGCAGAGTAGCAAAAGAGCTACAAACTTCACCTTTGCAAGTTGAAAGAAAAAAGTTCCTTCGAAGTTATATACCAAAATAGAGAAGAGATAAACTTTTGACCTTCAGAAGCATCGTGAAATGCTCAACTTTCCTCAACGACTAATTCATTATTTCAGTCAATTCAGTGAATATAAGTGACTACAGCTCCAAAACAGGAAAACACTAAGGCCGCAATTTCCACTGTCCTTGCGCTGCTGACAGTGACAATATCATATTAAAAGCAGCGACTAGACCAGGTAATAAAGATAGACAAGAAGGGCCCAACATATCAAAAGCAGCGACTAAGTAGCAACAATTGAACTAATTCACGATCAGCCTAGATTCTTGTAGATCAAGAATGCTACAATAGTTCTCTAATCACGTATGGCTCCTGACGTTGAATCCCCGTAAGAGGTAAAATAAAATCAAACATAATGTAAATTGTGATACATGCAAATGAATTTTTTTTTCCAACTAATTCATGCTCGTTCATAATAAAAAATGGAGAGATCTGTTATGTATAATTCTTAAGACATATATCACGACTCTTACCTGCATAGCGGTTGCAAAATTCAGTAGCGCTTCACATTCATCAAGCATCGCTTTTTCCTGTGCTGATACAACAGCAACTTCAGCAATTAAATTATTCATGCCGTCCACCTACACAGACAAAAAAAAAACATGGTGTCGACCTTTATGCATTATGGATTTACCATTGAGTCCAAAATGAAAATTGTTTAGGAAGGAAAACATAAAAATAGAAGCAGAAAGAAAGTTTGATAGTAAATTTGTTGGAGCAATAAAATAGCACGACCTAGGTGATATAATGTGAGTCAAACCAGTAGAACCTCTAAATAAATATCTCACCCTTGAGAGCAAAGGGCAAATAGCAGATCCCATTGCTTGCATGGCATCAACAGCCGAACAGATTGCAAGCTTCAAATGTTCAATATCTGCCTGTAAAAGTGTACACATGGTAATGAATGCTAATGTCTCTTTGCAGGCATCAAACCAAGAGACAAAAACCATACATACCTTTGCCCCTCCAGTTAGAGGAAGACGAAGAGTACTTGCCTCCAAGTCTTCTACAGTTCCGGATAAAGCATTAATATGACCACTTTCAAGTACAGCCCAGTCATCAAGGTAGGCCATCTGCTTCATTAATTGTAAAAGGACCACGATCAAAAAAAGTATCACAAAGTATCTAAAGAAAGTCGAAACATTTAAAAAAGGAAATAGCATCACATATGTATTGTAATCATTAAAATCAGCCATTAATACGAATTATGAATAACCTGTTACGACAGACTAGCATAGACCATTTAAACCTAACTTTTCAATGTGGTGTAGGGCCAACATCTTGCTGCGTATATTAGCGTCATTTATAAACTCCACAATAACTATCTCAACTTTAATTACCAAAACCAGAAATCCGGAAAAAAATTGTAATTTATCATCAACTATAATATGGGCACATAGAAATGATAAATATTTCAGGCAAGAGAGAAGTATTACTTGATCATTCAAAATAGAATTCAGTTTCAGCTCAAGCTGCAGCTGCTGGAGGTTGATCCTCTTCCTAATAATTGTTTCCCATATAGACAGAGTAGTGTGCCATACGTTGTACAGTGATTTCTGAACCATTGGACAAGTTTTTGTAAAATGACGTAGGGAAATCATTTGTTATACACAATCTTCTGCAAAGCAGAAGAATTACACTAAAAGAATAAGCCAGCTTGAAAGACCGTAAGTCATACCTCCGCTTTTGCATTTTGGATGTAAAATACATCCTCTGCTTGCGCATTAATAAATCTCCATTGCAAGTACCTGTTGTAGAGAAGTCTCAACTGGTGAGCATCTTCTACGAGGGCAGCACCCTTTTTCCCCTTTTTAAAATCAGCAATAAAGCTGAGTACTGAAATTGAATTGTTGGATTGGTTGGATGAATTGGTTGACCTTATTCTAGAAGGACTAACCCCTCTAGGAGGAGTCGAAGGCCTTGACCGAGAAGGACTAACAACACCTCTTGAACTAGAAGAGGATAACACTGAAGTCTTACTTGGTGATGGGTGCCCTGATCCTGGATTAGGCAGGAACTGTGATCTGACTCCAGTAACTGCTAATCCCGTTTTATCCAATGTAATTGCAGGAACAAATTTATGAGGTCTTAACACATGAACATTGTCATCAATTGGTCTCACCTCGCCTCCTAATCTACCACTTTCAACTAGCAACATTAGTCTTGAAGCATCACTAGAAGCTTTCCGCAAGGGCTTACTAGCATCACCTGGTAAAGACAATCTTCTCAGAGAAGACATACTAGTTCCTGGAACTGAAGAGTTCAACGTTCTGGTTGTCTTATCAGTATGATCAATACCTCTACTTGATGCACTAGAACATACCTTCCCACTGATTCTGCCTGGCCACCGGTGCTGATCTATCAACCGTGAATGCAAGCCATCATCAGGTTTCGAATTCTCTGTCTGATTCGAAGCATTATTCCCTTTGAGAGGACTCCTCTTCCTCTCTGGCGTGGGCTTTCTTACAATTGGTGTTTGAACCTGCTTGTGAGTCACGTTTGAATTGGGCCGCAGTGTACGATCAACGGCACTGGTCACGGGCTTCTCCTTCTTGATAACAGGTATGGAAATAGTGTCGGACTGGAAAGAAACACTCAAACTTCGCATTGTGGATGGCCAAAGGACCTCTGGCATTCTGCTACCAGCCGCCCTTCTCGATGATAAATTCACATCTATCGATGAGTCTTGGACAGGTGTAGAAGGACGTGGTGGGGAAGGTGGAGTCGCTGGCCTCTTCCTCTCTGTAGACTGAGCTCTTTTGGGTAACAATTTGGATGATGCCTGTGTTGTCGGCCTTGTGAGGCTTGGAGAGGGACATCGCCGAGAACCAGATGGGGTTGCCCGAGTAGGAGAAGGTGACCTGTACCGTGAAGTAATTTCCCTTGTTGCCAAGCGTCTGGAGGTGATTGCATTGTTTTTTTCAGCAAGACCCAAGGGTTGTCTTGTTCCTGTTCTGTGTTTCCTTAATGCCTGCTCTGACTCGCATACATCCATCCACTCTATCCCAATTAGACCACATTGATGGAAATTTCCATAAAGCTAAACCAAACTTAGCAGCTTTGGCTCTTTGGCAATCATGTGTGCACTCGACGGAATAAGTGAAATGCACAGGTTATCCAGAAAGAAGATCCTTTTCCCTGCAATAAATCTGCCACAAATGAAAATAAAGTAAAGATACTACAGAGTGGGAAACTAAAGAAAAGCAAAGAATAAACCCACCCCCAATCAGAAAAGGAAAAGGGAGAATAAGAAAAGCGCACATCTTTACAGAGACTCAGATCTGCTGGGCAAGGAATTTGAGAATCAAGGGCAATAAACGCAAGTAGGTATGTTTTATTCACACAAAAAGGCCAGAATCCAACAAGATCATGACAGAGCAAGAAGAATATGGAGAGGGGAAACAACATTTGGTGTAACGGGTGAGAGAAACTCGCGGAAACTGTCTCAACGTACATTTAACGTTTTATCATGAAAACGTTGTTAGTTTACGGTTAACTGAAGAAAAAAAAGGTTTAATTGGCGGGGAAGGGGGTCCCTCGGAAATTGGGGATACTGGGAAGTGGAATCCATGGAATGAATAATAGAGGGCG